ATAAAGAGACTAGAAATAGAAATACTAGAAATACTAATACCGAGACCTTTCGAGTTATATGAGAATCTTCATCAGGTAAACCAGCAGAATCTTGGCTTCAGGTCTGATGAAGTTAGTTTGATCTAATTGTAGCCAAAAATACACACAAATAAACATGAGAGACGACGGATGAAATGAAATAGAAAGAATAACATTAGAAATACTAAAACCGTGACGTTTCGAGTGTTATTAGAAGCCTCAACAGACAGTATACCAGCGGAATTTTGGCTTCAAGTCTGTTGAAATTAGTTGGCTTGAAACGCAATGGTTAAGATGGAGTAGTGAATAGTATATCAGAGTGAAACATAACCATGGAGCAGTGAATAGTATATCAGAGTGAAACATAACCATATTAATAAAGGGATCCCTTAAAACCATTTTATCATCACGGCTGTGTCTCATTTACATATCTCCTCTCACAATATTCCCCTGATGTACTCTCTCCAAACCTTTATTCGCCCTTCGTCTCCTACTCAATCTGGCAGGAAAAGAAGAGAGAAAAAAGTGAGACGGAAGAAGAAGAAACAGAAGATTACTCGAAACTATCTGACGAATCCGAAAAAAAAACAACATCTGTGTGTCAGATGAGTGCGAGGTACAAGGAGTCCTGCAAGGGCCATATGAGGGCCATTCACACAGTGCCAACGAGTTTTAGACGAGTGCCAAGGACGGACTGCCTGCAAATGCTAGGAGTAGAGCACCTGCGGGCGTGGACGGACGCCGGGGACGAAAGAAGGAATAAGAGGGAAGGAATAAAAGAGGGGGAAGGGAAAGGAGGGAGTTAATGAGTTAAGAGTGTGAGATGATTAGGGAAAGATGTAAACAGAATGAATTTGGAAGAGGAAGGATTAGGGACGAAGACGCAAGAATAAATGTAAAGAAGAGATTAAGAAAACGAGAGAGAGAGAGAGAGAGAGAGAGAGAGAGAGAGAGAGAGAGAGAGAGAGAGAGAGAGAGAGAGAAAGAGAAAGGACAGTGAAAGAAAAAGAGAGAGAGAGAGAGAGACAGAGAGAGAGCGAGAAAAAGGACAGTGAAAGAAAGAGAGAGAGAGAGAGAGAGAGAGAAAAGCGAAACAAGGACAGAGAAATAAAGAAAGAGAAAGCAAGAGAGAAACAAGAACAAACAAACAAACAGACAAACAGAGACATAAAAAAAACAGCCATGAGAGGGGAGACAAACAAACGAAAGAAAGGAAGGGATATTGGACCAAAAAAAAGCAAATAAAAACACCGAAAAGAAATATGAAAGCTCCTGACTAACTGCACCGGCCTACTGTCAATCTCACTAATCTTGAGGGTTCGCGTAAGAACACGTCTCGAGGGAAAGAGAAGGGACGGAGAGAGGGTGAAGGGGAGGAGGCGAAAAGATGGAGAATTAAAAGAAGAAATGATAAAGGGGAAGAAAGAGGAAAAGGGTAGATAGAGGAAAAGAAGGAGAGTTAAAGGGAGAAAGGAATAGGGTAGATAGAGTAAATGATGGAGAATTAAAGGAAGATATGATAAGGGGAAGAAAGAGGAAGAAGGGAAAAAGGTAGATAGAGTAAAAGATGGGGAATTGAAAGAAGAAAAGATAAGGGGGAGAAAGAGGAAGAAGGGAAAGGAGTAGATAGATTAAAAGATAGGGAATTGAAAGAAGAAATGATAAGGGGAGGAAAGAGGAAGAAGGTAGATAGAGGAAAAGATGGAGGATTAAAGGAAGAAAGAGAAAGGGAAGAAAAGGGAAGGAAGGAGAGAGGGCAAGGCAGAGGAGGTAGAAAGAGGAAAAATTAAAAGAAGAAAGCGAAAGGGAAGAAAAAGGGAGGAGTTAGATAGGGGAGGAGGACAGGAAAAGAAAAAAATCGAAAAAAGGGAAGGGGAAAGAGATAAGGGGGATAAATTGGGGAAGGAAGAGGAGGACGAAGGGGAGGGGCAGACAGAAGATTAATAAATAGAGAAAAGAAGAAAAGGAAAAGGAATAACAGAGAATGGGAATAAACGCAAAGAGAAAAGGGGGAGAAAACGAAAGGGACTAAAAGAGAGGAAAGGAAAAGAAAAACAAATGAACAGTAAAAGAATAAGGAGAGAGAGAGAGAACCAGAGAAAAGTTTATAACAAAAAAACAAAATGAAATCGATCAAAAGACGTGAATAAACAAATAGAAGAAAAGTGAAGATAAATAAAAATAAAGAATTGAAGACGAAGAGGAGCTAGAGGGAAGGATAAGGAAGGGAAAGAAGCGAAAGTGGGGAGGAGGAGGGGGGGAAGGGGGAGGAGGAGGGGGGGAGGGGGAGGGGGAGGGGGGGAGGAGGAGGGGGGAGGAGGAGGGGGGGAGGGAGAGGGGGGAGGGGGGGAGGGGGAGGGGGGAGGGGAGGAGGAGGAGCTGAAGTGCAAGAGGTACAAAGACCGAAAAACAAAAATGCTTGCAAGAAGATCTTCCAGACGTGCCATTTCCAACATCCCCTTCGCCCGTGACTTTTCCTGTCGCTGTTGTCACGGAATTAATAGTTGAAAGGAAAGGGAGAAGAAGAAGAAGAAGAAATAAGAAGAAGAAGAAAAAAATAGGAACGGTCGATGCATCGGGATAAAAAAAAAATAAAGGAGAGTGGGGAGGGAAGAGAAAATAAGAGAGAGAGAAAGAAAGAAAGAAGAGAGAGAGAGAGAGAGGAAGAGAGAGAGAGAGAGAGAAAGAAGAGAGAGAGAGAGAAAGAAAGAAGAGAGAGAGAGAGAGAGAGAGAGAAAGAGAGAGAGAGAGAGAGAGAGAGAGAGAGAGAGAGAGAGAGAGAGAGAGAGAGAGAGAGGGAGGGGGGGGGGGAATGGGAGGGAGGGAGAGAAGGAGAGAGAGAGAGAGAGCGAGGAGAGTGAGAGAGGAGGGGGGAGTTAAAGAGAGAGAGAGAACAAGAAAGAGAGAGAGAGAGAGAATGAAAACTTAAATAAAACACGATGAACAACGAAATAAGACGAAAAAAAACTATAATCCCTGACAAAAAAAAAGAAAACACAGATACATAGCCACAAACGAAATACAGATGAAAAGAAAAGATTTAAAAAATAAATCCATTCCATCCTTTCGTTTTCATGTCAAAAAAAAAACGAAAAAAGAAAAAAGAAAAAGAAAGAAAGAAAGAAAAAAAAAGACAGACAGAAAAAGAGAGAGTGAGAGAGAGAGAAAGAGAGAGAGAGAGAGAGAGAGAGAGAGAGAGAAGGATATATATAAAGAAAAATGAGGAGCTATCATCTTTCTCAGATTGCAGTCTTGATATATGAGGCAGCTGCAATGCCCCCCCCAACAATGTCGCCCAAATTGGGTTTCGAACTTGCTCTCACAGTCCTCTTCTTCATACTTTCTCCTCCTCCGTCTCTTTTTCCTCTTTCTCTTCCTCCTCTTCCTCTTCCTTCTCTTTGTCTTTCTCTTCCTCCTCTTCCTCTTCCTTCTCTTCCTCTTTCTCATCATCTTCCTCTTCCTCTAATCCTTTTCCGGCTTCCTCTTCCTCTTTCTCCTCTTCCTCTTCCTTCTCTTCCTATTTTCCCTCTTTCTCATCATCTTCCTCTTCCTCTAATCCTTTTCCGGCCTCCTCTTCCTCTTCCTTCTCTACCCCCTACTCTTCTTCTTCCTCCTACTCTTCCTCTTCCTCCTCTTCCTCTTCCTCCTCTACCTCTTCCTCTCCCTCTTCCTCTTCTTCCCCCTCCTCATCTCCCTCTTCTTCTTCCTCCTCCTCCTTTTCCTTCTCTTCTTCTTCCTCCCCCCTCTACCTCTTCCTCCTTCTCCTCTTCCTCCTTCTCCTCTTCCTCCTCCTCCTTTTCCTTCTCTTCTTCTTCCTCCCCCCTCTACCTCTTCCTCCTCCTCCTCCTCCTCCCTCTACCTCTTCCTTCTACTCTTCCTCTTCCTCCTTCTCCTCTTCCTCCTCCTCATCCACTTTCTCTTCCTCCTTCTCTTTATACGTCTTTTATCTCTCCTCGTCTTTGATATCCTAAAGAAAGCAAAATATGAAAAGGAAGGAGGAAGGGAAGAAAAAAGAAATCAAGAAGGAATAAAAGGCAAAAAAAAGAGAGAAAAAATCATATTTGGGTTTGTTGTCATTGTTATTGTTTTTTTTTTTTGTTTTTTTTTATCAATACTGTTATCAGTGATGCTTGTTGTTATTAGTCTTTCTTTTTATTATCAAAATGATTGCTCTTATTATTATTGTGTTTATTATCATTATTATTATCATTATTATTATTATTATTATCATTATTATTATTATTATTATTATTATTATTATTGTTGTTGTTATCATCATCATTATTATTGTTATTATTATTATTATTATTATTATTATTATTATTATTATCGTCATCATCATCATTAGTAGTAGTAGTATTATCATTATTATTAATATTATCATTATTATTATTATTATTATTATTATTATTATTATTATCATTATTATTATTATTATTATCATTATTGTTCTTATTGTTATTTCATTACTATTATTAGTGTTGTTGTTCTTTTATCACTATCATCATCATCATCATCACCATCATCGCTATTACAATCATTATCATTATCATCATCATCATCAGCGTCATCATCATCACCACAACCATTGTTATCCTTCTTGTCATTGTTATTATCATGATCACCATCACTATCATCATATTATACATCCTCACTATTTTTCTTTCGTTATTATCATTCTTATTCTTATTTATATTATCATTGGCTCTATTAATATTATCATCACATCATCATAATCATCAATCATCATCATCATCAATTATCATCATCATCATCACCACCATCACCATCATCACCATCATCCTCATCCTCATCACCGCCATCACTATCATTATCATCATCATCATCATCATCACCATCCTCCTCCTCATCATCATCATCATCACTATCATCATCATCATCATCATCACCACCATCACTATCATCATCATCATTATCATCATCACGATCATCATCATCATCATCCATGCTATCATCTACAA